AATGACCAGTTGGTCTCAAATAAACCTTATCTAGAGATATTTTTCTTGATCTATTATGTATAATTTGTCAGTAGATTGTAGGAATAATTTTTAAAAATATTTTATGTGTATGAGTGTATTGCCTGCATGCATATAAGTGCACCCATGTCATGCAGTGTCCACAGAGGTCAGAATAGGGTGTCGAATTCCCCTGGAACTGGAATTATGGATGCCTGTTAGCCACCATGTGTGTACTGGGAATTAAACCTGGGTCCTTTGCAAGAGAAACCAGTGCTCTTAACCATTGAGCCATCTCTCCAGTCTCTGTTTTTCTTAATGAAGGAAATTTTGTGCTAGCCGTGCTATGTCTTCTGGGACATGTGACTGCAACTGTCTCACTCAGTGGCCAGGATGGATTTCTGTGAGCACCTGGCAGGGTTTCAGAGGTAATTTGTGGCTAGGGAGCAGCCAGGCTAAAGAACCAGCGATTGTGGTGTCCAGGTGGCAGACTTTGCTTGCAGGACTGTACTCTCCTGCTCAAAATCCTCCAAGTACTCACTCAAATAGTAGAAACAGCCATGACTTCCCTCTAGGAGGCCCATTTGATTTCAAACGCAGGTGTTTGACATGCTTCCAAAAACACCCAAATCAACACCCACCAATATAGACAAATATGCAGGTTGGATTTGAGACAGTCTAACAAGGGCTGCATGTCAGGTGAGTGAGCTAGAGGTCTGTTTCCTCAGGTTTCAAAGAACCTGAGGAAGATTCTTTGAGACAAATCAGTCTAGGGATTCTCTGATATAAATTCCTTAAATGTCTTGGTTCCCCCAGGCATTACCTAAACTGGCCACACACCCAGACAGAAGTATCCTTTATCACCCCACACACTCTAGCCAGGTGTCTTGTTCTAGCTGGTTCTTCGGGAACACTGGTTGTTAGTAGTATAAATCCTGTTATTGCACATCAAAGATGAGGTGTGGACTGTCAGTAGTTACCCAGTGTTTTTATAAACAGAACCAAAATGCCAAGGACAGTGCCCTCAGCTGCCCCAAGCAAGGCAGCTGTAATTAAGATTCAGCTTATCTTTAGGGGTTGGCCTGGAGCAGTCGGATGTGCATGGCTCGGGTGTGCAGACCTCTTTTGCCAAGTGTTAAATGCACACCCACTCAAGGGGCTACACAAAACCAGCATCTTACCTGAGGCATCTCTAGGGCTTTCATGATGGCGGAGAAAGAATAGAGATCCCCCATGGTGTCTTTCAGCTCCACTGCCACCCGGATGATCCTATTGAGGGTGTCTGCTCTGTCCTCCAAAGTGCCTGTGCAGCCCAGAATGTCCACTGCGATGCAGATAACCATGGTGTTGTGTCTGAGGAGGAGACAAGGGGTTAGGCTGGGGTCAGAGGGACCAGGAGAAAACAACCCTAATCAGTCAGAAACTGAGCTTTTATGTGCCACTGGCCACAATGACTGTGAAATGTGCTGAGGGACCTGCTTGGAAAACTGATCTCAATAGAGACAATCCTCACACCAGGCACAGAGGGTGCACTATGGAATCAGAAAGCAAGATGCCCCAGGACATGGCCATTCCCAGCTCTGGATGTGAGAGCACACAGACTTCCTGGGACAAAGCTGCTCTGAAGTGCCTGTGATTGTATGGCCCCCTCTCCTACCACGAGAGGCCCAAAGAGATACGAGGTCCGCCCCCACAACACAGGGGATGCTACTCCTAGGAACCCTGGGGCTACCTCCCCCTGAACTGGGGAATGAAAGGACAAAAAAAAAAGATGAGAGAGTATATTTGATCCAGGAAGAGGTCCCAGGTATCAGAATTAGAGGAAGAAAGAGGAGGCAAGAAGAGGGTTCGGTAGCCCTGGTGCACAGGCCACAGGGTGACTGGAGATGTGGGCAGAGACTAAAGAGCTGACAGGCAGGAATTCACTGTAAGGTCAGACCCTAATAAAACAGAATGCCTGCTTCCTTCAGCAATTCCCCTTCTCCTCACTCTGAACTACATGGGTCAAATTCAGAGGCCCAGGGCAGGAAGCAGGCTGATCTTTTTGTATGTGACAGTGGGACTAATATGAACAGGGTCAGTTGGTGGCAGGAAGCCCAGGCTGTGACCCCTTTTCTTCTCTCTATAAAACTAGACTCAGGAATTTACTGTATTGGGCACAAGCTGTCTCAATTTGCCAGGCTATGGTGCAAGTGCTGAAGGTGACTTAATAACTACGTTACAACACGCCTTTGAAACTCCAGGGTCACACTGTCCCAAAAGTTCACAACTGGGGCTCGGGCTCCATCCTGTGTTCTTTCTGTGCCTAGGTTATTGGTCTCTCCCCCTCCTTGAACAGAGGACTGTTAGCTAAGGAGCTCTGCTATCTCCAAGTTCCAAGTGTGTGTGTGTGTGTGAGTTGTGTGTTGCTCACTTGCAGTGTGACCTTAGGCTGGTGTAAAAATAACTGTTCCCATCATTGCTCTGTTTGTGTGTTTCCCCTCTTTTTTTGGGGGGGGGGTCCTTGTGAGACAGGGTCTCCCTCTAGCTCGAGCTGGCCTCGAACTCACGGCTTACCTCTGCCTCCCTAATGCTGGGATTAAAGGTGTGTGCCACCACACCAGGCTCCTGCACATAGTAGGCAAATCCTCTGGACACCTGAGCTCTATCCCCAGCCCTCTTATTTTGAGGCTTTCAGTAAGTTGCCCAGGTATTCTTTGATCTTGTGACCTCCTGCCCCAGGCTTGCTCCATTGAGGCCCAGCTGTATTGGCTCATTTTACTTGTTTGTCCCATATCTTTCCTTTTCTCTGATTTCTCCTCTTTCACAATGAATGGATTCAAACACAGACCTGAAGTATATTTTTATTATTGGCTGTATGTGTTGAAGAGTTTTGTCCTTTAGTAAAGCATTAACATTAACTCAGCTGGACACTGCAGGTGGTTTTTCTAACAGTGAATTGACTTCTCATGCCGCATTCAATTCAGGTATCCCCCTATGTTTTCACACTCCTTAACTTGGGGTGCTATCAGAGGCTACCTGGGTAATAATAGCCAATCACTTGTGCACCATCTATGTGGGACTTCCTGGGTACACTGCTGTGGGTGAATGACTCAGGATGGTAAGCCTTTGGCTCACATGTCAGTGGCTGGTAGCAGGAGGTACTCTGGTGTTACCCTAAGGATGCTTCCAGCTTAGGCTGCCCAGGAATGAGGTGACAAATCAAAAGTCAAGAGTGGTTTTATACTTGATTCAAGAGCAAGAAAGTGGTGTCACTGAACAGCTCTGGACCCCTTTGACTTTGGCCTTTATTTAGTTAACACACTGTAACTAATCAAACCATTCCCCAAGCTCTGTGGGTCAATCCCACAGTCAGCCTTGGACATGAAACAAATTAAGAATGCAAGAGTCTAGGCAAGCAGCAAACAAGAGCGAAAAGAAAGGGATGTTGACGAGAGTTGAAGTCAGCAAACAGGCAGGAGAGAAGCCTTACACCTGCTGGGCATGGCCTGGGCCCAGAGCGCCACTCTGGCACACCTCTCAATGCCAGTAAAGGATGGCTCAGGCTCATTAGCCCTGGAACACAAGAGGCTTCAGACGGTAAAGTATCCGTGAGAAATGAGGAAGTGAAAGTGGCCATTGGGCCCAGACAGTGGAAGTCAGTGGAACCAAGAAGCCAGGTAGCTGGACATGGGGAGGGAGAGAAGGTAGGGAAAGCAGCCGCTCAGAAGTGGGTGTGTAATTCCCCCAAAGCCTTACACCATGAGCTTGCTGAGCAAAGTCTCTTCCTATCAGCCTCCCTACCATACCATGACTTCAGTTCAGCCTTCCCTGTTGCTGATGGTAAGCACTTCCAGCTATGAGCTCAAAGCAATGGCCCTGGGGTTGGTGCAGCTTTACAGCCAAGTGATTGATCTCAAAGTCTCTTGCCGTACTCTCTTAAGGTTATCTGTTTTATTTAATTTTGTTTGTTGAGACAGTGTCTCCATATACAGGCCAAGCTGGCCTGGACTCATTATATAGACCCTAGGCTGGCCTCACACTTGTGAGCCTCCTGCCTCAGCGTCCCCAGTGCCGGAATTATAGGAATGTAGCACCACACCCATTTTTGTAATGTGACATGCAGCCCTTACTTACCAGAGGAGGACAGCTGCTAGTTCATGGAGATATTTACACTTAAAGTAAATATTACAATTTAAATTTTTTCATTCATCAGTTGCACTAGCATTTCAGGTGTCTGAAATGTGTCCAGTAGTCACTGTAACAGCCAGTATTGAGGAGCTCATTCTTATCACCATAGAAAGCACAAGCACAACCAGACAGCGTAGTAACCAAGAGTATCACAGAAAACCAGGGCAGTCAGTCCTGGTTATTGGAGCATGGGATGCACAAACAGAAAACTTAATAGCAAGGCAGTGTTGCCCAATGTGTGTGTGTGTGTGTACAGGTACAAAAGACCAGCTTGTCTGGCAATATGAAAATATAGTCTTATGCTTCTTTTCTTAAAAGCATGCCTCATTTCTAAACATTCCATGTTCGTAGGTGTCTTTGTTTTGTTTCATTTATTTTTTTTTTGAGAAAGGGTCTCACTACGTAGCCTGGGTTTGCCTTGAATTCTTGATCCTCCTGCTTTAGCCTCCCATGTACATAGGCATGTGTGTGTTTTAATGGACAGTCTGTGTCACGGTATTGTCAACTTGACAGAATCTAGAATCACCTGGGAGATGGGCCTCTGGGCATGCCTATGGGGGACTATCTTGATAATGTTAATTGAGGTGAAATGACCTGTGATTGTAGCTGGCCCACTTTCCCTGGTTGGGAGCCCGGGCTGTATAAATAAATGGAGAAGGGGCTGAACAGATGAATGCATTCACCACTCCCTGCTTCCTGACTGCAATGTGACTAGCTGCTTCAAGCTCCTGCTGCCTTGACTTTCCCACCACAAAGTACTGTGAATGAAAATTAACCCTTCTTTAAGCTGCTTTTGTAGGGTATTTTATCATAGCAATGGGAAAAGAAACTAAGACATCCAGGATTCTAATTTTTCTTTAGAAAATGGCAGAGTGGTTTCAGAGGCTCAAGGACTGAGTGCCCTGACCCCCTAGTTCTCCTTTTGTCTGCCCCACAAAGAAAGTTGTTCAAAATCCACTCTTCCCAACCCCACCTAATTCATCAATGGATCTTGAACTCCAGGGAGACAAAGGTGGGCTGTTCATGAGAGGTGAGAGGGAGCGGGAAGGTCTGATGCTCCAGCTGCTGCCCCACCACAGCTTCAAGCAGGGCAACCTGCCCCATCTTCTATCCAGGAACAGGGCCAGGAAGGTGTGATGTCCCTGACATGCACTGCACTCTCCAGGAATCCTCCATCTCTGAGAAGAGGCACTCAGGCCCTGGAGTGACAGGACTCAGGGACAGGCTGGTGCTGTTCCTCTCTCTCTGCATCCTGCTGCTCAGATGCCTGTGAGGAGGAGCAGAAGGGGCTGGAAACAGCAGTGCTCACCTTTCCATGATGTCTAGGCGCAGCTGGCGTCCATGAGGCAAGGTAATGAGTTCCAGCCCTGAGCTCACACCCATGTTCCTCCTCATCTCTTCAGAGACTTCAAGTATCCTAGCAACCTGTCAGGAGCCAAGTTGAAATTCACTGATCAGGAAGTGGGCTGGCCCCAGCATGAATTTAGCATGTGAAAAGAAATAGAGCACACTGGGACACTGGCTGTGGGTGGAATGTATTTCTTTGGGAGCAACACTGTCCAAAAATATTTCCTGTATATGATGTCTGAAGCATCTTAGTAAACACATTAAAACAGAAAGCTGGGGGTGGGGGGAGGCTAGGGACCTAGCTCTGTCCATAAAGAGCTTGCTGCACAAGCATGAAGACTTGAGTTTGATCCCCAGAACCCATGTAGAAAGCCCGTTATGGTGATGTGTGTTTGTAATCCAAGAGCTGGGGAGGAAGAGACAGGTGGATCCCTGGGGCTTACCAGTTAGCCAGTCTGGCCTAACTGGGGAGCCCCAGGTCCCAGTGAGAGACCCTGCCTCAAAAAACATGGTGGCTGCCTCCTTAGGATGGACACTGGAAGTTGGCCTCTGGCCTCCACACACATGTGCACACATTCACCTCCCTATATGTGAACAAGCATGTACACACACACACACACACACACACACGCTTAGTGGGCAAATAAAAGATGGAAGGACCTTTTAACTGGTCTAAACCTGCAGACTTGGTATATGTTCCTGTCTAGCAGTGGGACAAGCCATTTGCTGGAGCTTTGGCCTGACACAGGCTGGATCCTGCTGTGACGTTTTGCTTCCAAAAGCAAGGCTTTGTGTGTGCAGAGCCGACCAGCCCCTGCGGTGGAAAAGCAGTGGTGTCCAAGCTCCCCTCTGCTCTGGGCTTTGCCATTCATGTTCTCACTTAACAGCCATGGCTGGCTGCTATTGGCCTTAATTACACCTCTCCTGGGTGCAGTAAATGCATCTTACGGCTGGAAACCATTAAAAACATATGTAGTGATTTGAAAGCCAAGTTCTCCAACATCATGTCGCCTCTGGAGAGGTTTCTCTTAAAAGTCTTTCTTTGTCTAAGCCAGCTCTTATCCTATCACAGTTATTTTTTCTTCTTCCCCTTCATTGATTAAATTTGTTCCTTGGCAATTTCATACACATATATAGTGTGAGATGCAGGTTTCATACTATGGTCTTAACTCTGCTCTCTGGGCTGCAGTTTAAGCTCACCTTCTCAAAGACTTTGCAAAGGATTCAAATGACTTTAGACACCTCCACCCTGGAACTATTTGAAAAGATAAGTTGTGAATCACTGGCCATGTGGAAGGGGGGCAGACAGCTGTGGACAGATCTTAAAGAGATTTCTTGCTTGACATTAGCAAGACAGTCCTCGTATAGACCCTGTACACTTCCTCATCTGTTTAGACAATGACCTTGTCAGATTCCAAACCTTGTACCTCTTTGGTGGTGCACTGTAATCCATATACACTGTGTAATAAGACTGAAAGGCTTGCCACTAACTCAGTTGTTTTTGTTTTGTGAGACAGAGTCTCACTATGCAGCCCTGGCTGGCCTGGAACTCGCACCATAGACCAGGTTGATCTCCATTCCAATTCACAGGCATCTGCCTGCCTCTGCCTCCTGAGTGCTGGGATTAAAGTTTTGCACCACCAAGCCCGACCCACTAACCCAGTTTTGTTCTGGAAGCACTAGCAGGCATTCTGGGGCCTCTGGTTTGAGAGCAGGATGCCTCTAGCCTGACTTTAGTATGAAATGGCCATTGTGAGGATGCTTTACAGGGCTGAACTACAGGACTAAGGGATGTCAAGCCCACCCTACTGGCCTAGGCTAGGTTCCCTGAGGGATATAGAGGGAGGAGCATTCATTGTAGGCTGGACTCAGCTCGGGGACATAAGTACCCTAAGCTGAGGTACTGCAAAGCCCTCAGCCCCCCAAGTCTTACTTCAGCTCTGTCAAGTCTCCTATTTTATCCATTCCTTCTCTCTACACTGCCTTGAGGCCACTGTGCTGTTAGTGTCCTGAGGAGCCCCGATACCTGGCCTCACCCTCTTCCCACCTGCCAACTGGCCTTCTAAATGTAATAAGCCTGCTAGGTCCACAAAGGGCTCAGACCCACACCCACACACTCATGGGTCAGTGTCCTAATTTGATGGTAAGGTATTGTGATGCTAGGATCCCATATGAGCCCTGGAGCAAAGGCTTACAAATGGAAAGGCCACCAGGCCTGTACCCGCTGACCCCACCTCTTTGATCTACAAATGAATCCTCTGTATATCAACCTCTGTCCCTATGGCTTTTGACACGTCTCAACACTTGTGCCTTCCATCTATCTGCAAGATGCTTTCCGCACTGGCCTGGCCAACTATTCAGCCTTCCAAACTCATCTCAGACTATCCTAATCTCTCACCTCAAGCCCTTGCTCAAGGCTCTGCCTAGAGAGTCCATGAGTCCTGTACAGAGCATTTCCCGGCTGGGCTGTGGTCCTGTATTGCCTTCCCTTTTGCCCCATCCCATTCCTACCAGACAGCAGGTCCCTCTAGGAAAGAGATGCCAGCTAGCCTAGACCACAGTAGTTGCTTAGTCAAGGTTGACTATAACACTGTGCAACATTTAGTGCTCACTCTAGGCCACACATGAAGCCCAGGGCTTCATATGTATTATCTTAGTTTTCAATAACCACCCATCTGTATTTCATCCTACATATGGCTTGAGAAAGAGAGTCGTGTAGCTAACCCATCAGTGTTGGGATATGGACTCAGGCAGTTTATCCCTGAAGGCCAACTTCTTAACTGGGCCTCCCTTCTATAGGGGAAGACAGGCAGGAGGCACAAGCAGTGCCCATCTTCAGGGTGGGAGGGGACTTAACCAGACCCCTAGGGTAGGGGGCCAGACATTGCTGGGCTACAGCCTCCACTGCTCAAGACCACCCACTGTCCTGATGGCCTTAATGGGCAGCTATGCCTGGGCCATGAGCAGGGGTGGGAATGGGCACATGGAGCCCAGATGCTGCTCCAGGCCTGCTTTTGGCTCCTGGGTGGCCCCATCTGGCTGCTGCTGCATTTGGGGTGGGGAACAATTTTCCTGTTGGAGACACTGGTTGTTCTTGGTAGTTCTAGGAAGAGAACAAGGAAAGGATGGTGGAGGGATGGAAGGAAGAAGGCGGAACACAGCCTGGCCCTTGAGGTGGGGCCAAGCAGAGTCAAGGCTGGCTCTTCTGTACTGCCTGGGGACACCATGAAACCCATCTTCCAGAAGAGCCTGAAGACAGACAAGGATGAGACCCCATCAAGAGGAGAAAAGGAACCAGAATGCAAACTCTTCAGCTGGGCTCAGACTCCAGCTCTCATTTCATGACTCAAAGGTGGTAGGAAGGTACCAGGGCTTCTGTAAACAGGAGGCAGGCACTGCCCCTTATCAAAACACAGGCTGCAGTCACTACTGCAGTGGTCCTTTGGACTACCATCCAACCCTGTTAGTTTCTTCTGGGGACATGGGGATGGACAGGTAAACTCATGCCTGCTGGTAATCTCACTGACCTCTGGCCTACTGGCGTGGTACTGAATACTCAGCCTCAGGGCCCAGCATGGCTGACTTGCTGGGAGAGAAACTCTCAATCCTCTTGCCTTGGGACAGGTTTAGATCTCTTCACATTGAGGTAAGGATTTAACATGGCAAATTATCTGAGCACTTGTGAGGAGTCAATAAGCCTCATTCTTCTACAGCAGTTCTTTCCTCAGGGCCTGCTTAGCAGGGGAACCCCCACCCTCCTCTACCAGCATGGCCACTAATCATTGAGTTACCCTCCAGTCCTGAATTCAGGAAAAGAGACTTTTTCCACCCAGGACAGCCAACAATAATTTAGTGGTCCTTCAGGCTGTTTGGGGGAAGGGGGTCCTTAATCAGCTTCATAACTCCCTGGGGCATTCCTCCAGGCTTAGGCTTCAGGCCACAATTCCTGACTCAGGAAGGAAAATCCAGTTCTTGAACAAGTCTTGACCTTTGAAACTAATCGACTTCCTTGAACTATGAATGAAAAGGGGCTTCAAATTAAAAAGGCCTTTAAATTTCACTGAGACCATATCTGTCACTCAAATGCCCAGACATCAACAGCTGTATCCTACACTCATACAGCGTGACACATCTGTTGTCTAGAAATATAGGGTTCATGAACAAAACTGCCTGCTTCTGAAGAAAATGCTTCCTATGAAGTGATGATATACAAGTAGTAGACATAGAAAGACAGTCTCAAGACATGGCTCTATGAAATGCCCTAGGTTCTAGAGTAGTGTTTCTTTACCTATGTTTGGTAAGCAAGTGTTATTTACATGTAAAAAAATAATGCATTTGTTACTGCACACACCTGGTGTTGTCAATGGTGATTGCTAGGGGCTGGAGATTTTCAAATAAGTTTTGATTTTTTAAAAAATATATTATTTTTATTTTTTATGTATGTGTGTATTGCCTGCATGTAGGTAAGTGCACCTGTGTCATGCAATGCCCACAGAGAATAGAAGAAGCTGTCAGATCCCCTGGAACTGGAGTTATGGACAGTTGTTAGCTGCCATGTGGGTCCCGGGATTTGAACCTGGGTTTTTTGCAAGAACAGTCAGTGTTCTTAACTGCTGAGCCATCTCTCCAGCCCCCGAGTTTTGGGTTTTTTTGTTTGTTTGTTTGTTTGTTTGTTTTTTTTGGTCTTTTTGAGACAGGGTCTCCCTGTAGCCCCAGCTGTCCTGGAACTCACTATGTAGACCAAGCTGGCCTTACAGAGATCTGCCTGCCTCTGCCTCCCGAGTGCTGGGATTAAAGGCGTGTGCCACCACACCCGGCTGAGTTTTGATATTTTTATTACATTTATTTACTCTGTGTGTGTGTGTATGTGTGTGTGTGTGTGTGTGTGTGTGTGTGCATGCAGGTATGTGCTACGGTGTGTGTGTGGACATCAAAGGACAATTTTGGGAAGCTGGTTCTTTCCTTCAACCATGTAGGTTCTGGGATTGAATTCAGGCTGTTGGGCTTGGCAGCAAGTGCCTTTACTGGATTTTGTCTGATTTTTATCTACTAATCTGCATCTTATAATTTTTCTAAATTGAGCAATTTTTAAAATTTTTTAAAAATATTTTTATTTTATGAGTATATTGCCTGCATACATTCAAGCACACCAGTGACATGCAATGCCTGTGGAGGTCAGACGAGGTCATTGGATTTCCCTGGAACTGCAGTTACGGATGGTTGTTAGCTACCATGTGGATGCTGGGAATTGAACCCAGGTCCTCTGCAAGAGCAGCCAGTGCTCTTAACCACTGAGCCATCTCTCCAGTCCTATAAATTGAGCAATTATTGTTAAAAACAAAAACAAAAACAAAAAAACCACAAGAGGATATTAAAGATGATTATCCTAGAGATCATATCATCATAAAACAGGTATGGCATGAAGATAAGTACAAAGCATAATGAAATAAAAATAGCCAGTGTTCTGCCACTCCAGAACCTACATTTTCATCTATAGCCCCTCTCCCTTGGCTTTTCCACGTCTGACAGGGCTGAGGCCAGGGGAGAATCTTTAACTAAGCACCAGGTGGGAGGAGGATTCATAGTAGCCCCTACCCAGCAGGGTTGGGATCAGGGACAGGCCTGCCCTCCCTCTGTCCAAGGTGGTGTTTATGAGCTTCCTGCTGGACGAAGGTATCCCAGACTGTGGTTCCCACCCTGCAAATAAATCTCCACACCTGTGTTATCTTCAGGCTTTTCCCTAGAGCAAAGCATCTACCAGAGCCCCTCATAAACCTTCAAATGTGGAGCTGCCCAGAGCACTCACCTTGCAGTCCACGCTCAGCATGTGCTGGGCGATGACTCTGGCGCTGCTGTTGGTAAAGAGTTCTTTTACCCGTTTCAGCATGGCTGTATCCAGGGGCTTGTTCTCTGGAGGAAGGAGCTTTGACTCAAAGTCATTAGGTCTGAACGAGGACATAGTTTCCATGAGGGGAGACACAAACTCGCCATTGTCTTCCTCTCCCTCATCCATCTGTACTGCCAGTGGTAGTTCCCAAGATCTGGCCTGGTCATCCCCATCAAGGAACAAGTAGTTGGTGCCAGAGTTCCGGGGACCTGATGTCCCATTCTGTTTAGTTGTCAGCAGCTCGGTGTGGCTGCCCTGGGCACATGAGAGAAGCTTGGCTTCCCTGTCACAGCCTGCAGCAAAGGCAGGGTTCAGTTCACAGTAGTTGGCCTCGGAGTTGAGCCAGGCAGATGGAGAAGGGGGAGCCTTGAGGAAAGGCACCTTGCAGGGCTTTGGGGGTGGTTTGGGGCACAGTTGGCTGTCCGATCCCCGAAGTGCTTCTCCTGCCCTAGTCTCTGAAGAGACCCTCCGAACCAGCGCAGGACTCAAGGTGGGCTCGCTGCCAGTCCTGAACACAGGTGAGCTGGGGCAGGGGCTTGTCATACCTGGAGACTGGGGGGGCAGCTTACAGCCTGTGGAGGAGTAGAGAAGGTCAGAGAAAGCTCAGCTGTGTAGAGAACAGAAAACAAACAAAGCAAAGCGACAGCTCCCAGCTCTCCCTCCCTGCCCTTGGGTTTCACCTCTCTCCCAAGAAAACAGTGTGAGTTCCCCAGGCCTGGTCTAGAGTGGCCTAGAACATTACAAAGGCTAAGCTGGCCCTACCCCACTCTTCCAGGGGTGATTTTAGACCCTAGGGGCTGGGTCAGAACATCATTTTATAGACACAGCTGGTTGGGACAGTCAGAATAGGAAAATACATCTTGGACAGTGAATTATACAATCCTAAAAACAAGTCTTCAGCCACACAGCATAAAGAGCTCTGAGTCATTCTCAAAGACAAGGGGCGGTCCCAAGCAGCATTTATGGGTAGACTAGAGGTACAAGAAAGGTAGTCAAGCACTCTGAGATAAGCCACAAATTTCTCAGAAATAGCTTACAAAGGAGCATTGGGGAAAAAAATCATTTTGCGGCCCCATGGAAGATTATGTAGCAAAGGAATGAAAAATCATCCTGCATCCTACTAATGTGAAATGATTATGGGATTTCCCCACATCCCATATGTCACTCTCCTGGCCATGAAAAGAGATTGGAGAGAAAGTAAGCTGTCTGTGGACAGCTGCTTTGCCAAGAGCCCCAGACCAACCCAGACACTGCTGCACAGGGAGGGGACTAAGGGAGTGGGCTCCTCTGTCATGACAGCCACCAGTTAGTTATCAAAAGGGCTCAGAACATCTGGGTGTAAACATTAGGTGACCCTCTTCTGTAATAGCTCAGTGTCTCCGTTTCCTCAGCTGCAAAATGAGAATAACTGTGCCCGCCTTGAAGGCTTGTTGTGAGGGTTAAACATTCTCATGCATCAAGTGTCCAGCTTAGCACAATGCAACCAGATACTATTCCTGCCAAACCTCTCTCCTCCAAAAGGCAGACATTTTCAAACCCAGGAGACTTGATCAAGCAGGAAGAGCCTGAAGGGAGCCAGGGCCACACTGCCACCCTCCTCCCTGAAACTCTCAAGCACCTACCTACGGGCAGGTAACTCTCCGACTGGTGGGCTTTAAGGGCTAAGGCCCTTCTGTCTTGCATGTGATCCAGGCAGGCGGGCTGGCTGCCGCTCTTCTCTTTATTCCTGAAGCCGAAGACAAAAGGAACAGAACGTATCATTAAGTAGTAAAACCTTTAAGCAACGTCATGGAAAGTTAAAAGAAGAAAATTGCTCAGAATGAGTGCTGTGCATACCCTAACAGTAAAGGAATGTCTATGGAGGAGGAATTACTGACGGAACAATTAATAAACAATGGTGTTGAGCTCCAGCCTGCATCCCTAGGGCCAAGGCAGTCAAGTCCTAAGATGCCTCTTCTGCCCTTCCTTCCGCACGGTTCACCACCCTCTTGGGGTGGGGGTGGGGTATCTGATGAACTGGAATGTGTACTTTTCAGAGAGCCTAAAATGACTTTCAGACCCGGGGGAATGACTTATTTAACATGAATTTTCCACAGTGCTTCAGAGGCAGCTGGAAGGAAGCTGGGGGCCACTTTTCCTTTCAGTACACAGATTGCAGCCCACCCCCCCCCCCAGCCAAGTTGTAGATTCCAGGGGAGGCTGCAACACCTATCTTCCTGGCTGGTTGGGAGCACCCACAGACGGCCTCCTCCTGTCCTTTCCAACTCAAATTGGAGATTTTTCTAGTAAGCACCAAGCAGCAGACTGGATTCTCTTGCTAGAGGAAAAGGCACAGCACCAGCCAGTTTGCAATGACCCTTAACTGGCTCTCCCTGAAACACAAAACATTTTGACATTGCAGAAATCGGAAGATCTTCCCTACCTTTGGGAAAAAAAAAAACAAGCAAATAGCCAGCCAACTCCCAGCAACCCCTCAGAGATAAGGTAAGACAGGGCAAATTCCGAAAGGAACTGGCTTCTGAGACGTGACATTTAAAGCAGTGTCCACCATGACCAACTGGTCAGATTCCAGGGCCCTAGAGCAGCTGGACAAGTGGAACACAACCTGCCTGAGAACACACACCTTTGCCTGAGGCTGCCAGCCAACCAGCAGGTGAGACGTCAGTCAGAGCAGTTGGCACTGGGCTGTAGCTGACGTGGGGAGGCTGCGGAAGGGCAACAGGGCAAGGCAAACAAGCCCATTGGGGCTATAGGTCATGCTTAGCTCCTCCTTCCCCCACCTGGAGATTCTAGGCAGCTGCCTGTGGGAAGCTATAAAGGAGCCTCTAAATTCCAGAGGGCAATCAGAACAGCGCCTCTGAATACCCATCCTTGCCTTTCTGCCTTTAGCCTGATCTCTCCGCTGTAAAGAATAATAACTATTAGGATTGCTAGCACGTACTAGATCATTTACCCCTCACAAAAGCTCAATGCTTCCAGATGAAGAAAGGGACTCCCAGAGAAGTTGAGGCATCTGCCCAGGGTGGCACAGCTAGCCAGCAGGAGCCAGCATGGAGCCACATGTCCTGAGTCAGATGCTGACTAACACCACCCAGGGAACACAATTGTAATTTGTGTTACTCATAGAGTCCTTTATTTCACAATACATTTTTTTTGTTTGTTTGCAGTAAAGAAATTACAGTTTATGATATTTCCTCCTGGTCCAGATTGAAAACCAGAGAGTAGAATTAAACTCTCTGTAGCAGGGCTACAGCACAGTAGAGGGGCTAGTCTACATCTATCCTCTTTTCTGACTCCCTCTTTGGTGGTCAGATCTGAGGATTCTCAACTCTGTGGAAGCAAGGTCCTGTGCAAAGACAGTGTGTCCCGGAGCCCCTTTTTTTCTGCCTTATACTCTGAACTCTTCTCTCCTCATTCCTCAAGGCTTAAACTGCAGCCTAGACACACCACATGCTCCTGTCCTTCAAACCCCATCTGTCTCTCCAAGTCAACCACCTTTTTCACACAGACCAGTCCCTAGTCTAACTCTTCAGCCCTGATCCCTGCTGGAGACTGGCACTCGTCATGCCCACAGTCCCTGCTCAAATGAAACAACACTTTCTTTCACAGCACATCCCTTCTCCCATGGTCTCCGGTCTCCTAGGTGACCTTCTCCAGTCTCCATCCAACCCCAAAGATTGAGGAAGCCTGATTTTTCTCCCTTATAACCCAGGCCCTCCATGACACCTTAACTGACTTCCCTGCTTTGGTCTCTCTCCTCATCCTGTGCCTGCTGGTACCCAGCTCTCTTTTAGGATATGCCATTCACCATCCCAAGCTTTTGCAGCTCCTTAGTCTGGCATGAAGGCCTCCACTTCATAGCTAGGATTTCCTCTTACACCCATCTCTCCCTTACACCAGACCCTCTGTTCTAATCTTACCAATCAACCCTTTGCACTAATACCTGGAATCATACTAATACCTGGAATGCCTCTCTCCTTGCAGCATCTCCCCAAACATTCCCTGGCCTTCAACTTAGCCTCTCCCCTGCTTAGCCTCTGAACCTTTTGTTTTGTTTTTTGAAATAAGAGTCTCATTCTGTAATTCAGGCTGGCCTTGAACTTGTGGCAATCCTCCTGCCTCAGCCTCCCAAATACTGGGATTACAGGCACGTGTCACCAAACCCAGCTCCACCTTTTGTTTTTGATGTCCCTCAACTGAGAATCATATACATCCTTGTGACAACAGTCCACTAACAGTGGATATTTGTAGCATCTTTTACTGGTTCTCTGCCCTACTGGGCACCCCTTGGACTCACCTGAGGAGGTTTCCCCGGGGAAAGCTCTGCTCTCGAGCTGGGGCACTGTTTACAGTGAGGCTCAATCTCTTAGTCACACTTGGCCTTCCCATGTCAAGGCTGGTCTCCTGGCCCCAGCCTGGTGAGGTGCCATAACGCTCCTCCAGGCACCAAAGGGGCACTGTCCTATTGATGGGCTGGAAGATGATGGCGCCACTCTGCTGGGAGATGGGCCGTCGGTTGCCCACATAGCAGCGCACCAGGCCAGGGATGGAGTCGAAGCTCTCCATCTCAAACTGGTACTGCACACGACTGTAGGCCTCACTGAGCCGCAGAACTGTCCGATTGATCTTGAAGTGCTGAGCGAGATTCTTCCACTGACAGGTCAGGACAAAGTTCCCAGGGCTGGACAGGGAATCTCGAACTAGGAAGTCACCATCTCGCTGTACAAGGTTTTCAGATACCTGTGGACAAAATGTAAGTGGGAAGCAAGAAAGACAAATTGCATCCTCTTAAAGACCTTCTGGAGCAACAGAAGACAGTGCTGCTATGGCCTCCCTGCCACCCTCTACATGTATGCTCACAAGTGTGCAAGTACATGTATATAGAGCCCAGAAGACAGCCTTGAATGTCATGCCCTAGGCTCTAGCCACCTTTTTTTTTTTTTTGGTCAGGGCCTCTCATTGGCCTGGAACTCTCCAACTAGGCTAGGCTGGCTGGCCAGCAAGCCCCAGGGCCCTGCCTGTCTCTGCCTCCTCAGTTCTGGGATTATAACACACCTGACCTTTTTTTTCCCCTCTTTTCTACTTTTATTGAAAACTTTAATAATTCATATTATTAAACAAGTGAAATGTTTTATTTATATAAAGTCCTATAAAATTGCAACTTCAGGGCTGGAGAGATGGCTCAGTGGTTAAGAACATTGACTGTTCTTGCAGAAGACACAGGTTCAAATCCCAGTACCACATGGCAGCTAACAACTCTTCTAACTCCAGTTCCACGGGATCCGACAGCCTCTTCTGTCCACCTCGGGCATTGCACGACATGGGTGCACTTACGTACATGCAGGCAATACATGCATACACATAAAATAAAAATAATAAATAAAATATTTTTAAAATTGCAACTTCAATAAAGCTAAAGTGATATTCTTTTAGGCAAATTTTTTTTATTATTTATGACCTTTTTTGTGGGTTCTGGGGACTGAACTCAGACCCCTGTGCTTGGAAGACAAATACTTCACCAACTGAGCCATCTCCCTAGTCCTCTTCCTTTAGTTTGTCAAATGTCACATTCAAAAACTATAATGTGGTGGCGCACTCCTTTAATTCCAGCACTCAGGAGGCAGAGGCAGGCGGATCTCTGTGAGTTCAAGGCCAGCCTGGTCTACATAGTGAGTTCCAGGACAGCTGGGGCTACAGGGAGACCATGTCTCAAAAAGACCAAAATAAATAAATAAATAAATAAATAAATAAATATTTACTAGCTGGGCATGACAATATACAACTGTAATCCCAGTGCTCAGGGGGCTGAAGCGGGAGAATTGTGAATTTGAGGACAGCCTGTGGGTACTGGGGACATAGTAGTGACGAAGCATACATCTTCTGGGGCTCTCTATTTTTAGTGGAGTACTCTTGTCTTAGGATAAACAGCGGCATGTGTTTCAGATGTGAAGCCGAGGAAAAGAACACTGGAAAGGGAGATGGGGATGCTTGGGACGGTTACCTTTCAAATGAGGGTGGCCAGGGAAGTGTCAAAAGAGGACTCATTCACACGGACTAAAGGATACAAATTAACAGGAAGTAAGAAATGAGGCAATGTGTGCCTGGTGGGTCCAATTCTCCCTTCTAACCAGTAAAGGGAGGAGGAGGCTGTTTGGGTCCTTAGAAATCCTCACCTAACACACCCCTTGCATAAGCTCTTCCTGGCTCATCACATCGGCCATAAGATGTAGATAACGGTATTGCTTATAGAGTGGCTAAAAGCTTCCAACTCCAGAGCAAGAATGAGTCTGGGCATAAGAGTGTCACTAGAGATGTGGCAGATTCTGGACATGGTAGGAGACTGGAAAGAGTCAGGCTGGGCTCCCTCACCTCATAAAGTTATTGCAAAGATTCTGTATCTGCACATGTAACATATGTAAAGCACTAGCACAGATCCTGCAGGCACAATGGATACTCAAAAGCAGGAAACGAGTATGGTGGTAATGTTTACAGTCAAGAATTGCACTGTGGTACAGCTTGACCACCTGGGTGTGCATTCCGCTGCAGCTGTGTGACTAGGAAAGTTGCATAAGCTCTTCCTGGCTCATCACATCAGCCATAAGATGTAGATAACGGTATTGCTTATAGAGTGGCTAAAAGCTTCCAAGGGATCAAATGTTGGCACATTGTTGTTGTTATTGCTATGTGTTTCCACTGTCTAGTTCAGGATGACATATTGCTGATTGTTCATGGTGAATGAATTTTATGATCACACTAAGGAGAAAGACAGTAGTGATGGTCATCAGAGCAATAAACTGACAATTTTTCTGGGATAGTCCAGCATTCAGCAACAGTATACTGCTAACTTGGAATAGCATGCTACCATGGTTGCCTTCAAATTGCATCTTTGCCTTAAAAAATATTTTCACCCAGAAATCCCATTTCTTGGAATCCAGCCTGTGGAAAGAATTAGAGATCTGAACATGGTAATTATTGTATAGGATGTTGGTCAGAGTGCTAGAAACACTCAAAGTGTGCAATAAATCATGATGTGTGTATGGGGGCAGTGCAGGAGTGTATTTTACAGCCAGCAAGAATTCCCAGGACACATCATTAAATGAGGAAAGTGGGCCACAGAAAGCATATGCAGCATGATCCCCCACTTGACTGAATAGTTCTGGGGGTGATATATGTCAAAATGTTCATAAGAGTTCTCTCCAGGGAAGACAATTAAGGATAAGAGTTCAATTTTATTTTTGTTATATATATTTCCTACAATTAATTTTAAGCTTATAAAAAATACCACCCAAGGTCAGAAATCTGGGGCCAGCAAGATGGCTCAGTGAGTGAAAGCACTTGCTGCAAAGCTGATGATCTGAGTTGAGTCCCTAGGACCCTCACGGTGGAAGAAGAGAACGGACTCCCTCGAGCTGTCTTGACCTCCAAATGTGGAGGTCAATACACACATACATACATGCACACACACAAAATAAATAAAATGAAAATAATTTTAAAAACCTACAAAATAAGTTACATTGAGAAACAGTATTTACAACATGATCCCCTTTTCTTCAGCCTACTTCATGTTATCCTTGGTTAACAACTGATGGGATTAGGTTCACAATAGAAATCCATGCGAGTCTATATACTTCAATTCTGCAGCCTGAGACTATTTTTAAAAAATTTAAAGCAATAAATAAAAACATCAGGGGGCTGGAGAGATGGCTCAGTGGTTAAGAGCACTGCTAGCTGCTTTTGTAGAGGACGTGGGTTCAGTTCCCAGCACCCAAACAGCAGCTAACTGTCCATAACTCCAGTTCCAAGGGATCCAATGCCGTCTTCTGACATCTGTAGGCACTGCACGACATGGGTGGCTTACACACACGCAGGAAATACACTCATAAAAAAAATTTTTTTAAATCAGCAATAGAAACATTGATGATAGTCACATGAAGTGTATTCTACGGTACAAGGCTGTGGTGGCTGGTATCACTCCTCTTCTTCCCCATCTTTGGGTCACAGGACCCAATAGGAAAGAAGCAAAGAGAGTGGATACTCACTGGTTCCACTAGATCTAGGGTGGCCTTGTTAGTCTGTGCTGTTTACCCTGCCATTTGAGGTAAGCACCTTTGAGGTAAAGGGCAGGCTCCAAGTGCTAGAAGACCGTGGCCACTGGCCAAGAACTTAGTTATCTGAACCCTTGCCGGCTCCCTACTTCAGGCAGCTGACACTGAGGTTGTGGCCTCCAACTCCATGTGTTTGGAGACCCCAGGAGCACTTGTCTTTCCTGCCTGAGTGGTGGTGTATTTGGGTTCCTGCCTTTGGTTCTTCCCAAGGTGTCTTTAGAGATGGGTTTAAGTTAAGATACTATACAGCATTATCTTTTCACGAAACAGTACTGAGTCCATGTGACTTCAGAGAAGGACCCAGCAGCAACATCAGTGTGACCTCGCATGAGGGGACCAGAGCAGGTACCTGTCGGGGGATCCGGCCGTGGTACCAGGCGTGGCTACGCAGATCCTCACTGCTCAGCCGCAGTTCCTCTTCTAGCTCCTTCTTCAGCCTCTCGGGGGTCCTGTCCATGACGTGTCTCTCCTTGGAGAACTGCAACACAGAGTCCACAGTGACCTCTCCCTGCCTGGACCAGGCCAGGCCATGCCAACTGGAGATGACTTCCACCTCACTGGTTCTCTGCTGTGCTAGCAAGCAGGTGTAGGCCCAAAGCCGTTCAGGGAGGGGAGAGGGATAAGGATTACGCTTAGCTGCGCCCTTCCGCTTCTCCAACTTCAGGTATGTTATAAAATCTTTTCCTGCACGGAGAGCCCCTGGCAGGGGAAATCTATTCTTGCAGTAATGAGCTGAGCTGCAAGGGTCCAGCAAGAGATGCAAGGGACGGTGGACACAGCTAGGCTAGCTTGCTCTCTTCCCATGGGAGCTTCTCACTCTCCTTTAGAACTGCCTTAACATTAAGCCAGGAAAGACAGCAGTTCCTGAGTGGCCTTCGACCCTGGGCCTCAGGGGCAGTGCAGCCCAAAGTACAGACCTTGGGGCTGTTAGCAATGGCTCTGCTTTTTTTTTTTTCTGTAGTCAGAACTCCAGTTCAAGAATTAAGTTAGCTTTGAAAAGTTTCTAAAGCTCTTGGACAGAGCAGTTTTATACCTCTTGAATCTAACAGTAGAGGTATGAGTTGTATATAACTTTTGGTTTGCATATGTATGTATATGTGGTGTGTGTACATGTGTATATGAATGTTTGCGTTTACATGGAGATGAGTGAGGTGTGTGTGTGTAGACCCAAGGTTGACCTGGAGTATTTTCCTTCCTCAGTCTCCACCTTATATATTGAGGCAGGCTCTCTCACTGAATCTGTTGAGTCTGGCTAGCCAGCTTGCTCCGGGGATCCCCTGTCTCTGCTTCCTGCACGCTGGGATTACACTGAGCCACCGTGCTCAACTGGATTTTGCATGGGTTCTGGGTCAGTCCTTACCCTTGCATGGCAAGAGCTTTAGCCACTAAGCTACCTGACAGTCCCATTTTTTGTGTTGTTTGTTTGTTTTGAGGCAGGGTCTTGCTATCTATATAGCCTAAGCTAGGTTTGACTGGATAATCCTCCTGTCTCAGCCTCTCGAGTGCTCGGATTATAGGTGTGTGGCACCATGCCCAGCTTGAATAATGTTTTTCATTTTTTTTTTCTAATATACTATTTCATTTTTAGGATAGAGTGGAAACAAAGTGAAAACCATTCTTCACCTCAGCTTGATAATTGCACAGCAATTGCTGCAGGGTTTCTAGCTGGGTGATACTGGCTCTAGGTTTAATTTAGAAGTGTGTCTACTTATACATGTAGACTAAACTTGACCCCAGCTAGGCTCCCAGCAAAACCATGCTTCAGTCACTGAAGTCCTTGTACTTCCCCAAGTTCCCCAACCTTCCCTCCAAATCCATTCCAGCCCAAAGAAACAAAGTCATATTTAGGATTAAACAGTTGGATTTGCATCCTCTAGTCAGTCTGTACAAGTGGCCTTGGATGGCGCTAGCTGGAGAGTGACTCAGATTTCAGGGTGGAGTCTTTCTTTTTCCTTTCCTCTCTCCTCCTCTCTCAGGACATCAGGACAAGAACTCAGGAGTGGTTTTGTTCTTTCATTTTGTTTGTTTGTGACAGGGTCTCATACCGTAGCCCAGGCTGGCTTGGAACTCATTATAGAGTCCAGGCTGGCTTCAAAATCACAGTAATATCTTTTTAAATTGGGATTTTTATTTTACATGTATGAGTATTTGTCTGCATGTCTATGTATGTACCACATGCATGCTTAGTGCTGCAGAGGCTAGAAAAGGGCTTTGGGTCCCCTGGAGTTATAGGCAGTTGTGAGTTGCTGCAGGTGCTGGAAACCAAACCCAGGTCCACTGCACTAAGGTTTGGCCAAGGAAGAACTAACTACAGCGCCAGAGGGACTTCTGGGGTGACATGATAGCCAGACTCTCCCCAACATCCTGGACCGTAAGAGCAGCAAGTGCTTCTAACCACTGAGCAACCTCTCTAGCCACCCCTATTACATTAATGATTAAATTTGTATGTATGTATGTGTCTGGGTGAGTTTATGTGCACCACATGCATGCAGGAGCCCATGGAGGTCAGAAGAGGATGCTAGATCCCTGAGAACTGGTGGTACAGACAGTTGTGAGCAACCTGATGTGGATGCTGGGAACTGAACTCAGGTCCTCTGCAAGAGCAGTATGTGCTTTTAGTCACTTAGCCATCTTTCTAGTCCCCCACAGTAATCCTTGTGCTTCAACCTCGAGTGCTGGGATTAGAGGTATGAGCCAGGATGCCCTGCTGTGGGGTGTTTGATGAATGGAATTTATATCAAAGTGGTGTGTGGATGGCTGTCCATGACTCCCATGAGCTTCGCACAGCAGTGTTTGACACTGCCAGGTCTCAGCATTAATTATGTACAGCTACATCTGATGACTCATGTATAGATGGCAGGTTGTCAACTGATGGCCGTCTATTATCTGTCTTGCCTCCAGAACCCTGTCAACCTTTTCATCACAGCCCTCAGGCAGGGCCTGAACTCAGCAAGCACTCAGTAATATTATATGAACAAATATCCCAGTAATACCACATGAACAAATACCCTGGATAAGGAACTTCTATGGCTTTTCTCAGTTGTGAGGATTTTCCCTTTCACCTAAATTATCTGAATCTCCATTTTTCCTGGGCAAGCTGTCATTCAACTAAAAGAAGACATTCCTCACTTTTTGTCTGTTAGAAGATGCCAGGCCAAGGAAAAAAGAAACTGCAGAGCTAGAGGACTTCTGGGGTGGCATGTGATAACCAGAACCTCAGCAACATCCTGGATCGCAAGGAGGAAGCCACAGTCAATGGCAACACAGAGGTTGGAATGGGGCACTGACGCCCGTGGGGCTCACACACCAGCCCGACAATAACCGGCTCCTGGTTTTCTATGGAACTGCTGAGTCTCATAAAGCCCATGATTTTGGGGGGGGGTTCCCATCAAGGCTGGTTGTACTAAATCCTAGCCCATATTGTGAGCCGAGCTCATCTTTAGACATACATATCTCACTTAAACCCTTTGTGCTATACCCTCCTACTTCTAGGTCTGAGCTCTGACAATGTAGAAGATCTAAAAATGTACACTGGGTTTACTATAATTCTTCACTGAAATTTATTTGCCCACACTCAAAGAGCTATTTACCTATTTACTGTTGTGTTTCTTTCCTCTCTGAGGCCTGGACATCTACCACTCTGCTCCCCTCCCCCTTTCTCAGCATTAGTTATATGTTTTCTTTTAAAGCATTTTTAGCACTTTACACATAACAGTCTTTCACTCTGTGCTTTGATTGATATACTGTTAAGTCAGCTGGCTCTTTTGTTACTTCTCTCCTAACTCCTTGGAGGAAAATCTATAATTATTCTTCTTTGTTGCTACGCTCAGAGACAGGCTGCTACATGAGACAGGGGTGACACAGTGGCACCCAAAGAGAACAGAAAGGGAAGGGTTGACATGAACCCTCCTGAATAATTTGAGGTGGAGACCAGACTTCAAAACACATGCCATATACTGGGCATGGTGTACATGCCTGTAATCCTAGCACTCAGGGGGTAGAGGCAGGATGATCAGAAGTTCAAAGTCATCTTCAGCTACATAAGGAGTTCTAGGCCAGCCTTGGATACATGGGATCTTGTCTTCAAAACCAAAACAAAAGAACAGTAACAAAACCACATTCCTATAAGTGACAAGGACATGGTGAAAATTGCCTAGATTTTCACTTTAAAAGAACAAAGAAGAGTTTAAGGGAGGCTGGTCCAAAGACAAGAAGTTACAAACCACTTTTCATTGTGGGCCAAGATGACAGGCTCTAATGCATTAAAAAGAGCAGGTCTTGCGGGGGGGGGGGGGGG